ATTACATTTGTATCGATAAGAAATAACGAGCGATCGTAATCTCTCGAGTTCTTAGACTGTATATCTCGTAAATGAACGCGACTAGAAAGAAGAAACATTTTCTCTGAGAAAACTTTTTTTGGATCGCACTTGAAAGCAATCAATTCTAAACATTCGTGTTATGGAAAGGATGCAATGCTTCCAGGTACTGAAGCTTTTATCGAAAAAATTGATCTATCATATTCTACAGCCTACAAAAGACGTCTTTCAAGGATAAAACGTATGTGTTGAGAATTGTGGATCCTAATCGCCGAAATAATTGTATAGGAACACTTAGATTACACTTAGAATTAATATCAAAATAGTTTCAGACTTATTTGATGTGTGATTGACAAGATATTCGTCGATACACATTTGCACGCGTTCCATCGCTCTCTTTGTCTCGCCATCTTCTATACCACACTACCAATGAAATAGTTGCATTCGTCTGTTTTACGAGACGCTGTGTATCATACTCATATATGTGTGTCACTACTACGGCTAATCTAGCGTAGCACACAAAATTACACATATCTCAATAATAACTTTAGAATTTGAGAGTTTTCATATAAACAAAGACGAACAAAATTTCTAACACGATAAAACGAAATATTGGGTTGGCAACTAATTGATTGCGGATTTTGCCAATACCACCTAATGACAAAATCCGTAAACATTTAGTTGCCAACCTAATAGCCGCAGTGACAGAAGGAACCAACTTTGCTCCAGCTATTCAAATATTTCTTTTTAAGATTCATAAATATTGAGAATTGTGGATCTTAATCGCCGAAATAAATGTATAGGAACACTTAGATTACACTTAGAATTAATATCAAAATAGTTTCGGACTTATTTGATGTGTGATTGACAAGATATTCGTCGATACACATTTGCACGCATTTTAGCGCTCTCTTTGTCTCGCCATCTTGTATACCACACTAACAACGGAACAGTTGCATTCATCTGTTTTACGAGACGCCGTGCACTCATACTCATATATGTGTGTCACTACTACGCGGCTGATCTAGCGTAGCACACAAAATTACACATATCTCAATAGTATCTCAATAGTATAATAGTAATTGGAAGAACAAACAATTGCTCGGTTGTATAATTAATTACTTTTTAATTCGCAGGTATAACGTAGAGACGCGCCATTTGAAGAAATATTCGAAAAGTAAATGAAAGTAAATTTATCGTTCTCATGCAGCGCAAATAGATACATATGTATGTGTATGTAAGCGAAACACGTGATTGCTTTGTATCAGAGATGCATATGTATATCGATGTATTGGGTTGGAAACTAAGTGATTGCGGATTTTGTCATTACCACCTAATGATAAAATCCGCAATCACTTAGTTGTCAACCCAATATCTTAAGGAATTGAATAGATCTACGAGAAGGATGGCCTTGCGATTAAATTCACAATTGGAATGTTTATGAAGGGGCGCGAAGGATATAAAAGGACTTGAGAGAATGGAAAGAGAACGAGACACAGAAGCTAGTAAGATATTCCGTGGCATTTTGAATCATTTTATTAGAAGAAGCACGGCTAGGAAATAAGGTTGGCGAGAGTGCAATCTTATATGCTATTTCGAATATGCAATGCAACTCTCGTGCCGTACATTTTCCATCGTATGCAGTATGCAGAATGCAATATGCAGTATGCAGGCAATTTTCGCGGCGAAATTCCCAAGCTTATTGCTACAAAATACTTATCGTGCAAAAACTTATCGCGGTAGTTTCGTAAATTTTCACATCAAAAGAAACGGATAAAATGGATGTTAAAATACCGGCAACAACTTTCGACGTTGTGAGCCACTAGCTAACATCAATTTAAACCTAGCAACATAACAGCAAAGGAGAACTTAAAAAGGAAGAGTTTGCAAAGAGTTTAGAGTATAAAACGACGCATAGAGGTCATTGAGATGCGAGCACCTGCGAGTTTAAAATAAAAGCAGCCAGAGATTAGAAGCAACTCCTGTTTCTCAGGCGAAATTTTCTACGTTACTAGATACGTGTCAAAAGGCTGCTTAAAGCAAAACAACTTTTGCAACTGTATCAGTGTGTTCATGGAAAGCATTGAAAGGACTGTAAAAACTCGCTTTGATACTTTACGTTGAAAAAAGAGATCAACAAAATATGTTGTCGCTCCACAAGGAGTAATTTGAAACCACGGAGTATAATAGTAGAAAAGGACACCCAATAGTGTATGCTCGTCAGCCTAGTCCTTCAAAGGGCGTTTTCGTCCAGATATCGATGCATACTAGCTAATTCAATCGTGAAACACTTTACGAGCTGTACAAAGTGTTCTCAGGACGCTACAACACCATCTATTATCTATCAGTGGTTCTTCCATTGCAAATACAATACCTCCATTAAATAATTCTAACATTATGCGAAATATACTTTAGAAAATATATATATGTCCATATACACAAATAAGTCACTTTTCATAAATATTTGAATCGTGTATAATAAGTATGTTCTATGTATAAATGTTACATAACGAAATGTGTTTTATATGTGAAAGGAATTACAAGATATAACGGAACAATATAAAAGCAAATAAATAATACAAGGGACCATTAATTTGTTGTTTAATTCCGATAAATACCGCAAGCAATCGAATGCAATATCGTGCCAATGTCAATACGATTAAGAACCACTGGTCTGCATAGGAGCTGCGTCGAACTGAACATAAAGAGGCAGACAGACAGAGACAGAGAGAGAGAGAGAGAGAGAGAGAGAGAACGCGATCGATAAGAAGTCGATGGCAAGTACAGCTTTCCTTTGGGAAATCAAAGTCGAAACTTAGGGAAGCTCGATTTATTAGTTTTTTAAGGCACAACACAACGGTTTATGTTTCCTTGCCGATTTATTGGGCTGGAAACTAAGTGATTGCGGATTTTGTCAATGGGTGGTATTGACAAACCCGCAATCATTTAGTTGCCAACCTAATATTTGCACGAGTGTGAATTGTCACGAGCCGGTGAAAGTACACGATAGCCTTGCAAAAATCAAAATATGACGATTCTAAATTGAAATAGAATATTACGATGGTGATCAAAAATTTGTTCTGTAGTGGTTTGTTGTGTCTAGTGTTACAGAGCCATAAAATAGCCATAGAAAAACAAAGGACGTCTAACGAACGTCCCGCAGGCCATCGAAACAACAACATAGAGAGTGTTCCAGTGTGAGAAAACAGTAACAGTGGCCATCTTTGATCTAGGCCCCGGCGACACCCCCTCCATAGGAGCCAAACCTATAGTATATAAACATTACTAAAATCAGCTCTCGACATTCTCTGTTCTAACACTCTGAACGAAGACTAAAAAGAAAACACCTCACTGACTTCATTAAAGAAATAAAATAGTCAAACTCGAAGATGGCATCCCGCTGGAGGTAACCTCCCAAATATTATTTAGCAATTAGGTTAGAAAAATTTACCAAATGGACAAATTGTAAAGTACAAATTTAATAATAAAAAAAAAAAAAAACACTGTGCCGTCACTCTGTTGGATTCGTACAATAAATTTTACTACTAAATATATTTAAAGTTCAATTCTTTATTTGTGAAACGTTCGAACTGCCACGCGAGGAGATCACCGGTGATCTGTCAATTTCGTGATTTCTTGTGTCTCCTACGTAACACTAGCGTAGACCTTTCGAAAGATTCTTCTCCGATATCAACTATTTCTGCGTGTAACGTATATCTCGGTTCAGTAGTGAAAGATAATTCACTATTCTACGAGCTTTCTTGGGCAATACTTTCCTCCTGTGGTGAAATTTCGAGACAGAAATAATGCTACGTTTGAAGAAGCATTTTACTACAAGGAGGGAGAAAAAAATTTAATCAACCAATGAGAATCTTAATGTACCCAAGAGAGGGAAAGTTGATAGTAATAAAAAAATGAGGCGAAGGAGCCAAAAAAGAATTACAGCAAGAAAATATAATATCAGGACAAAGATTGAAATATTTCCTTAGTAGGAATATAAATATTGAGATATGTATACTTTTGTGTGCTAGACGAGATTGACCGCGTAGTAGTGACACATGTATGTGAAATGAGTGTGTGAAGTATGTGTGTCGCGGCGTCTCGAAAAACAGCTGAATATAACTGTTCCGTTGGCAGTGTGGTATGGAGGATGGTGAAACAAAGAGAGTGCTGAGACGCGTGCAAATGTTATCGACGAAGATCCTGGCAATCCTTTATTAAATAAATCTAGAACTATTTTAATATGAATTCTAAGTGTAACCCTAATGTTCTTTTACTTTTATTTCGGCAATTAAGATCCACAGTTCTTAACAATAAATATATACTATGAACAAATTCTAAGATATCCTCGAATGAAAGACATCTTGAAATATATAACATGTCCTAAGCTAGGATTCTAAGAATGGTAATTTTAGAACAGATAAAGTAGAAATATAAAGTAGAAATAGAACCGTTGTATTATATACATCATAGGTACATGTACGTATGCTTAGAGAGATCCAGAGGTGGTCTCAGTTTTATTTAGGGCCAACTGTCACCGCTCCTTCGAGATCTCTTTTTGAACGTCAACAGCGGTTACCCTGCTTTCAGCGTACTTGCTCGATCCATCAAAATCAATTCCTGACAGCTTATCGAACCGAATCGAAAAAATTCATCACTTGTCTCTGCCTTCTCGTTTTCTCTTTTTCAGCTTGCGTGGCACGGAGTTTCAACTCCTAAATCGAGTGTAAATGACATTTGCTTCCACTCAATGGAAAACCTTCCATAAGCTTTTCTTCGATTCCTTTAATTCAACAAAGAACGCCAATTCTTGTGGTATTAGGTTGTCAACTAAGTGATTGCGGATTTTGTCAATACCACCTAATGACAAAACCCGCAATCACTTAGTTGCCAAGCGAATAGAAAGTTCTTGCCAAGTAAAACATTGAGGAACATGTTAAACTCTGAAGATTTGCCAATCTAATTGGTCCTTTATCTTGTAGGATACAGTAGATAGGATGGAAATCTAATAAACAAAGCAGAAAAAAGCGATGTAAGCTTTGTTGATGTTTGAAGTATTACGCAGAATGGTAAATGAAGAGGAATATTTCAGATAACCGTTTTCGCTATCAACGGAATTTCATTGCTAAATTAAGGATCTCTTAATTAGGGAAGAATGGAAGGCAACGGAGCATAAAGCTGTCGAGCAAGCACAATTTCTCTGGGCGATATTAAAACGACGCCTAATATCCTGGACGGCTTGATATTAAGAGGATGACGAAGGTGAATCCCAAAGGAAAGCTGAAATGGGGTGAAGAAAGGGATCGTAAGCCGCTTACGGTTTCACGATGTCACGAAACGAACGAGCCACCAACTGCTTGTCGTTTTAGCAGCACGCATAAACCGCACTCTACGTGGCTAGGATTTACAGACCTAGAAGGTCCCTGAAATTAGACCAACTCGCGTATATGCCTTCCATGATGCACGGATTAACTTGTTTTCCTACAAACATAAAGTCCCTTCAAATTGCCAAAGTTGGCAACTAAGTGATTGCGGATTTTGTCAATATCACCTAATGACAAAATCCGCAATTACTTAGTTGCCAACCCAATATATGCATATTACTCTGTTGCTTAAATAATTATCAGTTTCACTGTAATATCAGTATGGTATATGGTTAATTGAATTACAATTCAATTGATCTGACTAAAACGCTAAAACGGCTTGATTATATAAAATAAATGCGATCTTTTTTTGCAAAACTTTGCACTTGTTCTACGGTAGATCTTTTTCAGATTTTTCATCAGCGATGTTTCAACGTTTGGCTGTTACGTAAACTTGTTGCTGTTGCTTCATCGTTCGTTGCAAATTCTCCAACTCGCTAACTTTGGCACAAAATTCTTGACATTTTGTCGAAAAGTTTCCAACTAAATTTCACCTTACTACGAGCTAATTTACAAAGGATTTAACGAGGATATCTGAGTGCATATCCTTGTAAAAAGACAAGTGCATTTCCATTAAATTGAAATGGTTAAATTTATATAATAAATCGTATAATGTGAACGTATATGTGTTATGGCATGTACATAAATATTAAATTCATTCAAAATTCACAGGTTCCAGTTCCAACTCAGATCTTAGAATCCCTTCAGTTGTTCTGCTTATGGGAATTTATTTGCACCCGCCCAGCCGTCTTCATATGTAAGGATAACATTGGGCTTATTCTTTTAAACCTAACCTGTAAATCGGCTTACTTTAACGACTATCCTTTCATGATCTTATACATGGCGAAAGGATGTTTTAACAAAATTGGAAGGGGAAAAGACAGACGATGAAGACGGTTTTCATTATACTCGTGGATATCCTTGATCCTTAATCCTTGTGGAAATTTCACGCGATCTGCTACCTTGTGCGCTACAACATGTCAAATGTAATCAGACACCACCTCCAACTAGTAGGGGGATTCCGACGCGACGAGAAGCATTAAGCTCAACAGTATGCGCATGGCTGACTAATAAAGATAGACTAATCGCGTTAAAATAGCTTATTATCTAATAATCTAATCTATTATAAACCAATCGAAGCTTTTTCGATTACCAGCAATGAATTTATTCGTCGGACTCGATTTTGTTTATGTAAATAAAATAAAAACGTCCAGTAACAATCATTGTCTCGCCAATCTTTTTAGCATCTAATATTCAACACCACGTTAATTCAAACCATTTACTTATCGTATTTTTATAAATTTTCGCTAGATTCTACAAGTATTGGGTTGACCTTGGGGCCAATCCAATGGACGTTTGCATGGATACAGGAAAATAAGGATGTGTAAAATTTTGTATCGGTGCGTGTCTTTTCTGGAATATTTTAGCTAAACCAAAAATGAGCCATTTTTCACGAAAATGAACGGTTTTGAAAATTCTGCCTTATGGACATTTGACAGACCAAGGTCTGAACTGTAGAAATCTGCTTGAGACCGTGATCAGGAGATGGCATTGGCAATGCCAATTTTCCTGCTTACCGCTTACTGGTCTGTTGAGAATTTTGGATCTTAATGGCCGAAATAATGGTATAAGAATACTAAATTTACACTTGGAATTTATATTAGGATAATTATATACTTATTTGATGGACGATTTCAAAGATATTCATCGATACACACTTGCACCCGTCTCAGTACTTTCTTCCATATCCGACTGCTAACCGACTGAAGAGTTTACATTTCTTTGTTTTGGAGATGCGTATATATACTTCCACACACTGATATTCACATACAAGTATTACTACTACGCAGCTAACCTAGTCTAGCACATACAATTATACATATCTCAATATGGTCTTTGTATGATTACGGTGAGACGATCGGAAAAACAGAAAATAAGTGAAAGTTAATTCAGTAATCATGATTCAGATGCATATAAAACAAGCCATATAGTAAGTTAAGAGTAGCGTTTTTTGAAAAAGGTATCTTTCAAATTCATGAGGATATCACACATCAACAGTTTTCACGTTCCATTTCCGTAAAACACGACCCTCATTTTTGGCTTCAGTGACCTGAAAAACGCCTAATAAGAGTCAAATATTTTGCAATCCGTATACTATACTGAGTCCGGAAATAATAATAGAACGAGATAATAGGTAGTTTCAAGGGAATAACCATAAAACATTTTATTCGCTAAAACAAGCAGCAAACGAAAAAAAAATGCGAGCGATTAGTTATATTAATTTTGAATAAAAGAAGATTTTCAATAATAATCGAGAACATTCTACTTGTACAAAATCATGTTCAAAAGCATTCTTACTCGGCAAAAATATCTATTTTCTTCCATCTGTGAAGCATAACTCAAAATATGATTAGGTTGGTAACTAAGTAATTACTGATTTTGTCATTAGGTGGCATTAACAAAACCTACAATCACTTAGTTACCAACCCAATATATCGGTCTGCTTTTCTTCCAGCATCCGTTACAAGTGAAAGTGAAAGTTGACGAATCTATGGCATTAAATTGTTAATAATATTTGTTAGATGATAAATAAAGACAATATAAACGCGCGAACGAGAGAGATTTTGTTCGAGGAAAATCGGAATTAATTGCAGGATTTGACATTACCATCGAGTTATTTGAAGGAAAAATGTTTCTTGTCGAAGGACTCTGCGTACCTACTAGATCATGTTACTTTGAATAATGCCTCTACTTTGTTTATAGTCTTATCAGCTTATCTTTAGCTTGCTTCATAAGCTCCTTTTCTTCTCCCATTTTTCAATAACAATTTCCTATCAGATAGATTCCAAGATACCTATATAACTATGTTTGTATAGAGGAACCGATTGAATTAATTAAATTAATATAATAATATATAATAATATATAATATAATATAATTAAACATTATATTATAAATAGACGTTATATCGGATAGAATGGAGTGGAAACTTTTTCGCAAAACATCTTTTTCCATTGTTTGGCGCTACTTTTATTCCTCGTATAGGACTAACAAAGGTTACAGTTGGTGGTAGCTATATCCAGGGACGAATGCATGAAACAGATCCAGAGGGAATATGAAGTTCCTAAGATTCAATCTGCGAGGCTTCCAAGGGATCATTAAGATCCCACGCGTATGACAAAATGGAGCAAGGATTCTCGCTAGTAAGCCTCTTACTTTATTCGGGAATAAAAATCGCGGTGGCATTTCAAGGGAGAAGATAGCGAAGAAGCAGGATCTCTCCTTCTCCGGTTTTTAAAGCCATTACTCTGCCTTTATTCGTGGCGGTTTCGCGGGGAACTCGCTGCTACCAAAGGAAAGTGCTTCCTTCGACTAGCAGGGAATTAGGGCTTTCAAGAAGCAAAAAGAAAGCATATCCTAGATCAGAGAATGAAAGAGAAGTTTTTGTGATCGTGGTTACGCTTTTGTTGCCACTTTTCAAATACCACATCAGGAAATTGCCTCTTAACCTCCACTTCCAAGTAAGTTAAACTTAATTTAGCTAAAGCTTCAATGTTTCAGCATATGACTGTAGCTCGAACCGCAGCTAATTCTCTTTGACAACTAGCACAGTTATTAACATGTGGTGGATGGTTAAATGTGTTGCTTTAAATGACGACACGAGCGAATACTTGTAATGGTCAAATATATTTAAAATCGTTCTAAGTACAGAGTACAGAGTTTGTTGAGATATGTATAATTTTCTGTGCTGGACTAGGTTAAATGCGTAGTAGAGATACTTGTATGTGAATATCACGTGGATGTATGTGTGTCCGCAGCGTCTCGACAACAAAGGAATGTAAACTCTTCAGTCGGTTAAGAGTCGGTTAACAGTCGGGTATAGAAAAAAGTGCTGAGACGCGTACAAGTGTGTATCGATGAATATATAAGGAATCCTTCATGAAATAAATATTTCATTATTTTAATATTAATCGTCAGTATAAATTTTGTGTTTCTATAACATTATTTCGGCTTCAAAGATCCACAATTTTCAACAGAGTTAATCGTCGTTCGCTTACTGAATGTTCGATACCAACTGTCCTAGAGAGCGTGTTCGTTTGTTTATACTGCTCGGGGAGTTAACGGAAAGTTTGAATTCGACACCGGTCGACGGTTGCACGTAACGGCGATACTGTTTTGTCTGTGTTTGTTTACTTTTAAATCTTGGACATGGGAACGGTGCTAATACTCCGAGGCAAAACAACATGAGTCACTCTCGATTCGAAGCGTTCTATGACTCATATGTGGCTATAAACGTATCAAGTTTTCAAGAGCGAGGAGCTGGTTAGCACGCGATACAAGATGACGAGGAATTTCATAATAAAATAAGGGAGGAATGGCATGACCGCATTACGAACTCGTTAAAATAATTTAAGTGCCCCGAGATCAGAAGATTTAACTGGCAATTCCTCGAAACTTCGATTATTAGCCTATATTCCTTGTGACATAAGTTGACTCGAAGCAAGAGAACAGCGGACTGCGTTTAATTAGAGCAATTAAATTGAAATAGGAATTTCCAGTAAATTATACGGCGACGCGTCTCTGTAGTCTCACTGACGCGCTATTATTATGCGAAAGCAGCCTGGCGACCCGTCTTCTGCCGGAATTGAATTATTGATTTCGGCCAACGAATCGCGAACAAAACATGATGAGAGAATAATACGAGCTGATAAATATTCATAGGTTACAAAGAGAAAAAAATGGAATATCATGAAATAAATTCGCGTATCAGTGAGAAATAGAAATTTAAACGAATGAGCTGGCAACCATTCGATTACAATTCTCTGGTTTTATCGAATTAATTCCCAGTTGCAACTGTTAATCCTTGCGTAGTAAAACACGTACAAAATATGTTGTGAAAATAAAGATTACAGAAATTAACTGAAACAAAATGATGGAAAAAGCAGGACGAATAAATGTATTGGGTTGGCAACTAAGTGATTACGGATTTTGTCATTACCATCTGATGACAAAATCCGCAATCACTTAGTTGCCAACCCAATATATCAAAGAAGAATCATATAATTGTTATTAATAAAAAAACAAAAAAAAAGATAAAAACGAGTATACTTTTTGAAAAAGATACGATTAAATGCTTTGTAACAGATGTTTTTTAATGGGAAAAAGAAAAGGGTAGATGATCGATGGTTGATGTCGCACTTGACTCAAGGTAATTCGGAAACGCAAAGTAATCGCTGAATGCCGTGCACAAACGAAGTTATTTGCACTCTCTACAAACGTACCGGTGCTTATACCAGAGACCATTTCGAAAAGGTAGTTAA